AAGCACTACAGCTGGGTCAGGGGTCAGAAGCAGGAGTAGGGGATCACAAGACTATGAGGACTTTGTGGTCCATACAATGCAAAGCAGTACAGGGACATGGCTCAGGACTGGCTGGTGGACTGATACATGCAAGAGAGTATTAGGGGGCTCAGTAGTTTAAGGCCAGTCTCAGCTACATAGTAAGTTTGAAGGCAACCTAGACCCATATATGGGTCCCTGTATCAAAAACCCTTAAGCCAAACCAAATACAAACAACAACATCATCAATAAAACCTCTTTTTGCTTTCAGAAAGCCTTTGGCATAGTGTTAGTGTTCTAATAAATGTAAGAGAAAAGCAAATGTTTTCTTTGAGGCAGGATCTGCCCATCCCCAAGAACAAACAAATCCCATTCATTGACTGAGTAGGGGGGAGCTACTGGACAACATGATTTGAGAAATACAACCAGCCTAGAGATAGGTATTGTGTGGCAGTGTGGACACCAAACTCCGCACAGTCTGGTGAGTCTGAGAGATGCTAGATGCTTAGAACTTTTCAAATGTGAGTAAAGAACCTCAGGAGACCCCAAACACTGCAAAATCTGGATCCAGAGATAAAAAGCTTTGGGCCTTGGTTCACCGTAGGAAACTTCCACCAAGAAGTGTCTCCCCTGCCTCTCTCCATCACCCTTTGAGTGCTGCAGGTAGAACAGGATGGGCACCGACTGGGCACTTACTAGAGTTGTAGAACCTTGGATCCCACTGGCTTCAGACCCACTGAGATCCAAGGTTTTCACAAAGTCCTTCAAGTTTGAGATGCTGATAAAAGGGGCTTGCAGGATTCCTGGCCCACAACTTTCAATACGTCCACCAGATGGCAGGTTTGCAGCAGGCAACCCTTAGCTAGAGCAATCAGCCAACCAAGGCTCCTTGTAATCTGCAGGAAGTTGGTGTGAATGTACCCTTGAACTTCTGGGTAAATGGGGGGGGGGTGCACAGGAAACACTAATCAAAGAGTGCCAGGTCACCCTCATCAATTCTTCCCCTGTGGATATTCTCCGTATTTCCCCATGCATTGTGTAGTGAGAGGAATAGCCACACACTCTTTACTTCACACACAAAAAAATCGAGGACCCAGGAAAGAAGACTCAGCCAAGTGCTCAGAGTAGAAATATTGGTGGACAGACCTGGGGGTGGGCAGGTGTCTGGCTGCAGGCCTGAACTGAAAGTTCCTATCTCTCCAAGCTCCTGGTTGCTCTTTGAACAGCTCTCTCATTTCCTCGGGAAGTGCAGGAAGGAATGATGCTCACTCAATTTGCACCACTAATAGGCTGCTCAGTACTTAGCCCTGGACTTAGCCTCCAAGGGAACCAAACATCAGCCTTAATGGGGCTCTAGTTCCCAAGGAGTACTCTGGGCATCCTGATGGCCTTTGAGTCATTGGCTAGCATTGGTCCAGACTCTGTTTAATAACTTTCCCCTCAATCTGTTTTATTTTCCTCTTTCAGCTCTAAAAGCAGTCCTTTGAATAAGACCAAGCTCTCCCTCTCTCCTTTCTTAATTAAGGGTATATTTGGATTATATAGGCCTCATTGTATCTGAGGCTGTTGGAATCTGAATAATATATGCTCAGACTATAAGAATGGGGCCTGGAGAGATGGATCAGTGGCTAAGAACACTGACTGTTCTTCCAGAGGTCCTGAGTTCAATTCCCAGAAACTACACGGTGGCTCACAACCATCTGTGGCAAGTGTTCTCTTCTGGCCTGCATGCATTCATGCAGGCAGGATACTGCATTCATAGTAACTAATTGAATCTTCTTAAAGAGTTTAAAAATGTTTTGGGGAGGTGTGGTGGTTTGAAAGAAAATGGTGTGGTTTGTTGGAGTAGGTATGGCCAGTTCTCCAGCACTATGTCTGCCTGCATGCCTCCGTATCCCATCATGATGATAATGGACTAAACCTCTGAACTGTAGGCCACCCCAATTAAATGTCTTTCTTTATAAAAGTTGCCATGGTCATGGTGTCTCTTCACAGAAATAGAAACCTAACTAAGACAGAAGTGAAGCAGAAAGTTACGTTTCTCATTTCTATCCCGTTGTTAGCTGTTAGGAGGAATACTAAATAAGAATTGTCATTGTGCTAAACTTGTGACGGTTCCTCAGTTTAAAAAGAGAACAACCAAACAGTGCAGCAATGCTCTGAGTAGATCTCCAAGGAAAACAAAGCCAGCACTTCCTCCTTGCAACTTGATTCACAATAGCCAAGGTATGTCTGTGCTGTCCAGCATTAGATCCCAGGAGCCTGCTGTACCCAAATCTAAATGATAGCAGAGGTTCTGTTCATGTCGAATGCTGACAGTTCCTTAGATTAAAAAGAGAACTACCATACAGCACAACAATGTTTCCAAATATTTCTCCAAGGAAAACAAAAACAAAAGATTACCCTGTGCATGTGGGTTTGGTGGCACATAGATCTCTGTGAGTTCAAGGCCAGACTGGTCTACATAGAGAGTTCCATGACAGCCAGGGCTATGTAAGGAAAACCTGACTGAATAATAAACAAACAAATAAATAAAGTTCCCTTGAGCTTCAGTGGTGGCTCACTCCTGTAATCCTAGCACTTGGGAGACTAGAGAGGAGGATGGTACCTGCTTGGAACACATAGCGAGGCCCAGGTCAGGAAGGAAACTCTGGTAGATCCAATGTCCAAAGACAAGTGACAATTTAAGTACAGCTTGGCTGCCGTGCAATAATCCTTCCTATGTGAAGACATGTCACTGTGATTAGTTTAATAAACAAGCTGACTGGCCAGTTGCTGAACAGGATCAAATTAGCTAGGAAAGCTAAGCTAGGAAAGGCAGAGTCAGAGGAGTCGCTAGCTAGATGGACACAAAATGGGATAGATGTAAAAGCCATGAGCCTCTGAGCAGCACGTAGATTAGGAGAAATGGGTTAAGTTGTAAGAGCTAGTTAGTAACAAGCCTGAGCTATTGACTGAGCATTTGTAATTAATATAAGCCTTAATGGTTTATTTGAGAGCACCTATGTGATAGGCAAACTCTGTCTATGCTTGGCTCTCTCTTTCCCATCTCCCTCTGTGTGGTGATTTGAAAGAAAACGGCCCCCCAAAGGGAGTGGCACTATTAGATGTGGCCTTGTTGGAGGGAGGGTGTCACTGTGGGGACAGGCTTTGAGGTCTCTTTTCTCAAGCTTCCCTCAGTGTGACAGTCAGTTGACTTCCTGTTTCCTGCAAGATGCCGCACTCTCAGCTCTAGCACCACATCTGCCCTGCTCCCCTTCATGATCATAAAGGACTGAACCTCTCAAACTGCAAGTGAGCCCCCCTCAAGAATATGTTTTCTTTATAAGAGTTGCCGAGGTCATGGTGTCTCTTCACAGCAATAAAGCTGTAACGAAGACACCCTGGAAAGTCCTCATCTTTGCCCATTGTCTTATAAGCAGTTCCACACCAGCAGAGCAAGCCTCTACTACCATCTGGACTGGGCACATCAGGCTCCTGGGAAGCAGCTGCTAGAATAAATTCCAGGTGTCCATGACATAAATCTGGAGATTTGCTCACAGCAGTGTGTCCCTGGGACCAGCAAGTGTGCCTAAAGGTGCTTGCTACAAAGGCCCAAACCTGCGGACCTGAGCTGAACCCCCAGAACCCACATCAAGATGGAAGGAGAGAACCAATCCCACAGAGACACCCTTCGACCTCCACGGATGTAAAGGCATGTGCACACCCAAATGATATTAATAATAAATTGAAAAGATAAAAATGAGTCTGCACACAGACATAATTGCTGTTTCCTGCATGTGACAAAGAATACAAGCGATAAACCCTTCACAGGATGAAGAACTGTGCAACTTAGGTCAGGGATGGAAGACTTTCACACAGTCCCGACTCCCCAGCCCTGGATCCACACCAGGTGTCTTGGTCAATTTTCCATTGCTATATATAAAATGCAGGAGGCTAAGTGCTTTATGCAGAGGTTTATGTTTGTGGTCTGGATCCCTTCTCTTCCCCTTTCTTTCTTCTGCTTATTTTGGGAGACAGGATCTCTCACTGTAGCTCAGGATAGCCTATTCCTGACAATATAGACCAGGCTGGCCTCACATTTATGGTAGTCCTCTAGCATCAATTCTTTTGGTGCTTGGATTATAGGCATGGGCCATCCTATCTGCCTTCACTTGTTTCTTTGTGTGTTTTGTTCATATTGGTCTTTTCAGACAAGAGCTCTAAATTGTTATGTACACAACAGCATCCTTAAGTTCCTGATTCTCCCTCTTTTAGCTAATGAGTTTCCTCGTGGTATCTTCAGTCCTGTATGCATGTCATTACACTTTGTTCCCATGTGTTCCCCTAGCCAACACTCCCCTCTCTTCTCCATCTGGTCCCTTCTCCCCTCAGCCCCCTTCCTGACTCCCTTTACTTTCTCTTTACCCATCTGTCTCCTTGGTTCTTATTTTTGGCTCTGTTTGCTTATTTCAATTTATGCCACAATTCATCAAAGGATTGAGATAACCCCCAAATGCATTTGAGACCCCCAAAGTAAAAACAAGTTGGGGTGGAAATGTGGCAAAGGGAAGCTGAAAAGAAAATATAATGACGAGAAGACCAGGTTGGGTGGTGCATAACTGTGATTTCAGACTCAGAAACATTCATGTTACACAAGAGCCAGGCTCTGCATCTGTCTCCTGGTTGTGCACATCAATGTCTTTACAGAGATGTACAGAAGCTTCTGGTCTCAAAAGAGCTGTGCTGTGATGACCCTGAGGTTGAGCACGAAGCAGCCAGCCAGCCAGCATCTCTGGAGATGTGAAGGCTTTTCCTTTCAGCCTGTTCCATTGCTTATGAGACATTGACAGAAAAGTAGGCTCATTTTTAGTGTCATTCCTGAGGTTATCACTAGTCCTTGGAGAAATGGCCCTCTTCACTCCACCACTCTTTTCATAGATACAGTAAGGACTTTGGAGGTCCTGTGCTATGGCAGCCTGGATTCAGTGACAGTCACTGAGTTACTGTTTCTGACCCACCAGGTTCCTCAGAGCCGCCCTCACATCCTTGTTCCTCAGGCTGTAGATGATGGGGTTCAGCATGGGGGTCAGCACCCCATAGAAGAGGGAGATGAGCTTGTCTGCAAGGTCCTGCTTGTCTGCCCCCAGTGGGTCCTTGGACTTGGGCTTCCCATACATGAAGAGGATGGTGCCATAGAAGATGATCACCACAGTGAGGTGGGCAGAGCATGTGGAGAAGGCCTTCCTCCTCCCCTCAGCAGAGGGGGATCCTCAGGATGGTGGTGAGTATGAAGACATAGGAGACAAAGATGAAGAGGACTGGGATCGCCAAGAAGATCACATTGGCCACCCCCATGCTGATGACATTGATGGAGATGTCAGCACAGGCCAGTTTCAGGACTGCCAGGATCTCACAGGTGAAGTGATTGATGACATTGTCCCCACAGAAGGGCAGCCTCATTGCCAAAGATGTCTGCACTATAGAGTTGGTGATGCCACCTGCCCAGGAGCCAGCAGCCATGGGCACGTAGGCAGCCTTGCTCATGACCACTGGGTACCTGAGGGGGTTGCAGATGGCCACATAACGATCAAATGCCATCATACTCAGGAGCACACACTCTGTAGCCCCCATGGCAAAGGAGAGAAACATCTGCACCGCACAGCCTGAGAAGGAGATGGTCTTCCTGGGGGTCAGGAAGCTGTCGAGAATGAGGGGGACTGAGGATGTGGTGTAGCAGATGTCCAGGAAGGAGAGGTTCCCCAGGAAGAAGTACATGGGCGTGTGCAGGTGGGCGTCAAGGATGGTGACCAGGATGAGGACCCCATTACCCAGCAGGATCACCAGGTACATAAGCAGGATGAGGATGAAGAAGGTTTTCTCCAGCTTTGGGTGGGCAGAGAGGCCCAGGAGAATGAAGCCGCTCACAGGGAGGGTCTCATTGGATCTGTCCATGGTACATCTGTTCTGAAACCTGCAGGAACTCAGAAATCAGCATCAACATTCTCTTACTCCAAAAGCTCCCAGGAAGCTGAGCAAAGGCCTCACCCTGCCAAGCAGCTGGAGACATCCTGCCAGTCCTGTCATCTCCATGGGGTTGTTCACTTCTAGGAAATAAAGTGGGGGTAGACATTTAACTCCCTAACTTAGTCACAAGTTAAATTGGACTATGCTTCCTGCAGAGGACAATTCAGAAAATGGCAAAAATGTGTAAACGATCTCTGTGAATTACTGGAGAGAAAAGAAGAGAAGTTATATGGGTATGATTCTGGGGGTGAATGAGGTCCAAAGGAGTTAGCCCAGCTCATGAAGCTTTGCAGCCTCTAGAGGTCACCAAGAGCCAGCCTCATGGAAAGACAGAATGGGCTTTGAAGCACAATGGCCAGTGTGCAGGGCACCCATCCAATGCAAGCTTGCAAGGGGTTCCCAAGGTGGCATCACAGGGCAAGACAAACCAGAATATGCAGGCATTCGAGAGTTCTGTTCTCACCTTCAGATTCTCTAAGTCTTAAGGACTCAACTGAGGAGGTCCTAGGCTTTTGCTGCTCTCAAATCCACAACAGAAGCAGGCCCAGACCTCTCTGAAGGAAGACAGCATCACTCTAGTCTGAAACCATTCCTGCGAATAGCTTTTCAGATGTGACTGCTACCACACATTTTAAAAGAGTAAAGTTGTGGGGTGGGGAATGGTCCAGTGGATTTGGTTCTTGCTGAGCAACCATAAAGTTCAGATACCCGGAACCTTAATAGCAAAGCAGATCATCATAATGGCTCACATCACATCTCAGTGCCCAGGAGGCAGAGACCAGGGATCCCCTGTGGCAAACGGACTACATAGACTAGCCAAATTGGCATGTCACGTTGGGAGAAACTGCCTCAGTAAATAGGTGAGTGAGGAAGACATCCGATGTCAACCTCTGGCCTACACACACACACACATACACACACACACACACACACACACACACGTATACATGTGCATGCATACACATGTACCCACACACATGCATAACACATGCCACACAAAAGAGAGACATATACATATGTGTACCCACACAAACATGAACCCACATTCATAACATGTAACACATGAAAGAGAGAGAGGAAGAAAATATAGTCCATAAGAAGGCAACACAAGTGAAAGCCAGCACAAACCTATCAAGGAAATACGGTAGCGCTTTCCTGGGGACAGTGACAGTCAAGATGACAGCTCTATGACACTGACACTGCTTTGAGAGTCAGCCCTGACCACAATGATACACAGTGCCAAGGCTTAGCAGCTTGTTGTGAGGGCTGTGAGAGCAGCCCTTGCCCCAAAAGCTCTGACCAAATTTCCTCCACCTTCCATTCTGCTTTGCCCAGACAAGGTCCTCTGCTTCACGCCTGACAGTCTGCTGAGTCCTGCTCTGCTCTGGTTGTTCTAGAGAAGCTTGATGAAGCCCTCAGTATTTTAAGTTCCTCTGGACACTGGGATTTGTTCTGGGCCAGCAAAGAAAACTGAACCAAACCAAAAGAAACCTCAAAACAATAATAAAAACTTGTTCGAGACGTCAAGCATCTGCTCTCGTTACCATTATCTCCAAAACGGTCATGAACTTCCCAGGCAGTCATCCCTCCAGGGGTAGAGAGAGACTCAGTCTTCCTCTGTGCTTATTGTGAAGCTAAGACACTGACTGTCACCACCGTAGGGCCACAGTAACTCAGTTTGGGTTAACAGACACTTGCTGGGCCTCCCCTCTGGGTTAGACATACTTCTAACTGAGAGGGACATTGTGATGAAAAGGCACAATTTTTGACCCTGAAAGGATGACTGTAGTAGGGAAATAGTTGTGAAATTAAATAATTACATGGGCATCCATGTCATTGTTATCAACATAAAAAAAAAAAAAAAAAAAAAAAAAAAGAATTACCCCAGTGGTCACAATGGGCCTTGGATACACTTAGCAACCTGTTCCCTGCTGACTGGGTTTTCCTTCCTACATTCCTGGTAACCCTGGAGTCGAGTCCTGACTGTCAAAGTGATAGTGAACAGAATTGTGCTTCTCATTTCCTCTGTCTAGCCCTGTCATCTGGAACCCCATCCTCAAGGCAGTTAATCCTCTTCTACACATCACCCCTCCAAATATCCATGGATGGGTCGGTGTCAGCATGAAGATAAGAAAGAATCTATTTTTTCCCTAGGATTTTAAAAATATAAAATATCTCTTAGTGGCAATATATCATCCCGGAATCAACTACAAGGTTGATAGTGAGAATAGTCTCTAAGCTTGAAGACAGGGGCACGGAGTATCCTGTCTGTGTAATATATGAACTGGACAGGACAGTACTTAGCTGGATTTTCCATTCTCCTTTGGCTAGCCCTCATGTCCCCTCCCCCCAGGAAGAGACAATGGAGGCATTTTCTTTAATGTCACCAGCACCAAATTCAGAAATCCACTCATTGGTGCCATCCGACCGTGGATTCCACAAAATGAAAAATGCCCAGTGGCTTTAGATAAGTGAGAGAGGACAGTTTGTGGGGAGAGGGGAGGCTGCTTCCTCTGTTCTGATCTTAGGGACTCCTGCAGCTTCACGGGTCTTCATGATTCAGTGAGAACAACATCACACTGCCTCAGACCCCTCACTCTGTTGTAGGCAGGCTGATCTGAACTGTTGTCCTGCTGATGGAAGTTTGGAATTGCTTTGATGGAAGTGTGCACTTACTTTTCTTGGGAACATGTTGACGAAGAGCGGTTGCTTTCTCAGAGCGGCAAGTGCTTGTATCAGAATGAGGGCAGCAGCCCCAAAAGACTAGGGTGAGAGCTCAGAACATGTGATGCCCAAAGACCCAGGCTGGACCTCTCCTCTCTACCTACCTCTTGTGCTCAGGGCACAACCTCCAAAGGTTGGGACATTACCTTAGAAGTTAATTTAAATTCCAGTTAGTTCTTTGGGACCGTTTTAGTCCCCCAAGTCATTTAAAGCTCAGAGAGTGTGTTGTCCTCAGCTTGGAAACTTTGTATCCTTCTGGGATAAGATCCCTAAGACCCAATTATATGGCAGGCACTAGAAGAAGTTTGCTGGCTGCTTCTTTTTGTTCTTTACTTTCCTCTCTGAACAATGTAATTGGGTCAATGGTGTCCACAGCTGTTTAGTGATTACTCAATTCTTCAAGACCCTCTCCCCAACTAGTCTTTCTCAGTGCTGTGGCCAAGTCCTATTAGCCCTACCTAGCCTGTGTTTGTGCAGTGGTTTGAGGGAGATGTCTGAGTGAAAACCTTAAATTATTTACATGTTTATCCTGTTGAGTTAAGCGCTGTTAAGCAAACAACTGTGATCTTCCTCAGTCCTCACTAGGCATCCAATGAAATGAGTGTTCATCTGGTTTGTTCCCTTGACCTCGTAAGAGTCACTGACTGAGTGTGACCCGGGACAGGGTGTAGAGAATGGGCTCCTTGCTATGAAACAATCTTTGTACAATGCAAATATGTGTTACTCTCATTGGTTAATAAAGAGCTAGTCCCCGGTCCCAACGAAAATCCCTGCCTAAAATGTCATCCAGACATCTGGCACCTAACTCCACATAAAACCTGAAAAAGCTTTAGAAAAGATTCTAAACACACAAAAATGAAGCTTAACACAGCTTCCTAGTCTCGTGTCTCTCATGCCAGCCTCACTACAGATGTCTCCAGCTGATGCTTGTGGGCTTGAGCTACCAGCGTGAGCCTACCAACACGTCATGAATTCACATGGTGGGTTCTGGCAGTCTCTCATGTGGGCCTTGGTACCAGAGGTGTCTCCTGGCCACTGCCAGCCACTGATCACCATGTACTAGCACCATGCACTAAACTGAGCAGGGCTGGTGGCTGACATAACAATTCAAGATTCATCTCACGTGATCAAATAACAATACAGATGTTCAGTAAAGACAGATCCAGATGGAAAAAGTATACATAGGCTTGGGAGAGAAATGAGAAAGGACAGTCATAGATTTAAAAATAGATTAATAAAATAAAGTCCTTAAAATAGGAGTAAAGTAAAATAAAATAAAAAATAAGCCACATAAAAATGGGAAACACAGAGTCTGGATACTATATATTATTGTGTTGTCTTTGAATTAGCGATAGCTGCTAAGAGACACTGGATTGTGAAAGTTGCTAGATCAAATCAACCTATATATTTAAAAAAATACCTTGACTTTAAAATGGAAGTCAAAGGTGTGTTACTTTTCGGGAAGAGGTTATGCTTTATTTCTACAGGTAATGAGAGGCCATTGATTCATTCAAGGTTGGTATGGATCAGGTTTGATTGGGGAAGACCTCTTGAAAATCCTGGCTACAGACATAAAGAAATAAACCTAGAAAAAAATACAAAACGTGACATATATTTAACCTGCTCAAACATAAAACAAAAAATCATCTTGGGCTAACTTGTGTACAACACACAGGCTATACTTATATTAATATAGATACATATATTACCTTTAAAAGTTTATGTATTTTCAGAGCAAGGGGACCAGACACCAATAAAAACTGATGGCCCAAGTGATCCAACATCTGCTACATTTTCCTCAGAGTTCTGCATCCAGAACAGCTTTAAGGCTGCTGCTGAGATGGTTCAGCCTCACCAACTACTCTAGCCAAGACTTAACCATTATCCTAAACCTTTTCAGGGCCCCCCAAAAGATGCCAGCACACCCAGACAACAGAATGCAGTCTAGAGAAAACAATGTCACATTCCCAAAATATTGGTTATGGATGTTGTCATCATTTAAAGGGGGTTGGTTACAAGTTGTTATTGGTCATAGTCAGGAAAAAAGCTAAACAAAAGAGTTAGATTCAAAGACCTCTTTCTAAAGGAAAAAAGGGGGATAGTGAGATAAAAGGGTAGATTATTGAATATAGTTTAATAAAAAAACTATTAACCTCAAAATATTTTACATAGGTATGAATTTTGGTTTATTGATACAAATTTAA